TTGTAGTGGTGCAAAGTATGATTTATGTGCAGATTTTCCCTGCTGTGGGATCAAAATAAAGCTGCAAACAGATAGTACCATCGCTTCAAAAATGCTGAGTTAAATGGATCTGCTTTTGGTGGAAAATCCTGTTTTGCCGTTATAGTCCTACAGTTGCATGCAATTAATATTCATCAATTCAATTTGGTTGTATTCTATAATGAGGAAAATAATGTATATGTCAACCTGAATCTTGCCTGGCCTGAGTTGTAGATAACATCAATTACAGTAAAGGTTCTTCTGTTGAAGAAAGAGCGTATAGTAGGAAAAGAGGAAATAGCACTTTTTATATGCTAAAGTGTAATAATTTCCTTGTGAGAGACTTTAAGTGATGTATGGATGTTTTATCTAGGATTTCTATATTTGCAATAAGCACCTGAAACAGTGCTCCAGATAACAGTGATGCAGCCAGATCTCTTAACTTCCGAAGATTTATGCGTTCTCTGTGTTATTAAACACGTACAGTGGTGGGGGGAAATATGACAGAATGGTGACCTTTTTCCAGTGTTGTTGGATATGGAATAGGAAGCTGTTGGAAAATGATTGCCACAGAGCTGAAAAGATAATCGGATGCAGTTCATTACTCATCTTGTCAGCTGCTCCTGCTACAAGGGATTGTATCACAAGATGTTAATCTGCTTGTGACTAGATTTCAAAGCAAGCATTTTTATTTTGGAGAGAGTGTAAGTAATTTAACATCTTTCAAATTTATTTCATTTTCAGAAGCAAGAGAAGTGGAAAACTCCCAATTTAAAGCCTCAGAATGCTAATTGATAAAAATATTAGTACAACCTTGTGGATTCAGTTACAAAAATATGATGATACGCTGCAAAAAACTATTTAATTGCAGAAGTTGTTCTTTTTAAGCTAATGATGGGGTTGTGTATTCCTTGAATAGTGGAAGTTAGTCTGCTAGCACACGTCAGTGTTTACTGCGAGACCAGTATAGGCACAAGACAGATTTGCACCAAAAAGAATGGCTTCTGCACATTGAATCACTGACATGGATGTACCCAGTGCCTCCCATACATTGTCTGCCAGTGAGGATGTATGGTGGAAGTGTAGAGGAGGACCAAATTCATTACTTACACCCTACAGATGGGAAGATGACAGCAATGCAATTTTAGCTAGGTGACGTTTTCTGAAAGTGAAAGCCCCAAAAGAGCAGTTACTTTCCGATACTGTGGGATGTTGCTCACAGTGTGATATGAAGCAGAGGGGAAGGCTTATAAACTTCCCATTACAATAAGGTGAGCCAGTAGATTTGCTGTGTACGTTTCATGCAAGCAGTACTCCCATTTCCTCTTCCACCTTCATCCTGCCCTGAAGAAGTTGTCCAATACAAGGAGAGGGACATTCCTTTAATTTCCTGCTAAGCTGGAAAAACCCATTCCTTTTGTTCCCCCTTTTTGTGTCATTTTTAAGTATTGATTATTGTCAAATGGAATTGCTTATTATATTTTAAATAGTTAAATTATAATTTTGATTGTGATCTATAGATGTAATTGCTATTAGAATGTATTATTTAAAAAATAAGCAGTAAGATACTTAAAAGTACTTAAGAAAATAATATATTGAGTTAACCTGTAAGCAAAAGAAATTACAGGTTTAAACAAAATAAATAAATGGTTTCTGGATGCTTATGGTTACATATGGCACTTTTTACTCCAGCAGGAGCATCTCATGCTAATGCCTTGCTGTATTCCAATTTTGGTAGCTACAGTCCACCCACTTAAATACCCCCTGGTGTATGCGTAGGCAACAGTATTCTCTAGTTCCTGCCACGAACTCTTACATGGTCTTTTGTGTGCTATTAATCAGCAGCTATTTTTCACCTCCAGAGTGACTGCATCTCAATGCTGGACCAAGTGAAATATCGTATCTTGCCTTATAGAAGCAACCGGTAATGACTCCGTAGATAGTGTTTTTAGTTGGTCCAAAACTGGGGCATTAATCATTTTTTTTTCCCCTAAATGTTTTCTGACTGAGTAGTCAATCAATATGAAATGTTCTTTGAATTTTCCATGTGGCTTTTCCCCTCTGTTTCTCCTCATACATAATACAGTTGGTTAGCTGAGACTTGAGGGCCTTCTTTACTACAAAATTCTGATACAGTTAATGAACACCATTTGCCCAGGTCAGAAGACCCAAGCTAATGGGCAGAGGCTTAATTGGTACAGCCATGTGGCTACCATGCAAATGTTTACATGAGTACATATGCATATATGTCTGACTTTATATTATATTTGCATATAGGTAGATACAAAAGTTATGTATTTTCACAAAAACATGAAATGTTATCACACGTATGTCACTATTATTTGTCACCATGTTGAATCTGACAGCTAAGATAGAAAAGTTGATGTGAAGGGACTGCAGGCAAGTTTGTTTTCAGGGCCCTTTAATCATTGCATTTTCTGCTACGACTATGACAGAGGTGTAGATGGTGATAACAGTAATGAAAAAGAAGTTGTTTGAAAGTGCTCTGTAAGTATTTTTCCACCTCCATTAGATTATTTAGAAATTGAATTGAGTTACCATGCTGAATAGGCAAACATTGTTCCAGGCTGGGATAGAGAATATGAAAGCTAATTAATTTACTCTATAGTTGATGTGAAAGGCCATTTGTTTTATAGTAATTTTCATGTTTTAAATGTGAAACTGTGAAATGAAGAACTGAGTAATTTCACATTTAGGCTATAGTAATAAATTTACAAAAAATCGAAGATATTTTATGCAGTGCACCTTCTGAATCATTGTATAATATTACAATTTTATTTTGCCCATTTTTGAAAATCAAATACAATTTTACAGAAAATACAATCATAGTTGTCAGTTAGTTCAGCTTCTAAATCCATCAGTGTCCTCAAGCAGTCAAAAATGAGATTCCATCATCCCAGTTTATTTTAGTTTTCTATATTAATTCTCATACATTTTAACAGTCCTACAACATAAAAGATGTTCTCTCTCAATTCTTAACACATGACCTGAAAGGAAGTTGCAGAGAGGCAGGGGTAGGTCTCTTCTCCCAAGTTACAGGTGATAGGACGAGGAAACGGCCTCAAGTTGCACCAGTGGAGGTTCAGGTTGGATGTCAGGAAAAATTTCTTCATGGAAGGGGTTATCAAGCATTGGAATGGGCTGCCCAGGGAAGTGGTTGAGGCACCATCCCTGGAGATATTCTAAAGATGAGTTGACACGGTGCTCAGGAATATGGTTTAGTGTTGGTTGGTGGTGTGTGGGTGTGGTGGTGGGTTTTTTTTTGTTTGCTTGTTTGTTTGTTTTTTACGGTTGGACTAGATAATCTTAAAGGTCCCTTCCAACCTAGGCAATTCTGTGATTCTGTGACCCCTAGATTTTATCTTTCTTTGACTATATTTAGAGATAAGGGGTAGGGTTGGATTAATTCCTCATCTAATCTCAGAATATGTGAAAGCATTCTATCTGATAACACTTCTTTTATTATTTTATTTTATTTTTGGATGTCTCAGTGTACCTTTAATTTTCAGGTTTTATATCGGTTCCTTAAGATTAATGTTTTTGGCGCCGAAACTTGAGCTTGAACTTGCAATCTTTCAATGGCCAGATCTTCACGCAGGATGCAGTGGTACCCTGTTAATAGATGACATTCTAAACATATTCATCGCTTTGCATGTTATTGCCACTGCAAGTGAATAGAGCACATTCTTTCTTCCGTTGTCATCTTGAGCAGTAATTCAGTTTGAAGTAGCTGTACTTTTATATTTGATAGCTAATCTCTTCCTTTTTGTGGTGCTGGGCAGTGCAGAAGTTGAGCTGACACTTTACAAGGGCTTGTGTTATTAACAAGAACTAGAGTTGTTTTGGTTTGGTTTGGTTTTATTTTTCTCATAGTGAAGTCACTGGCAGTGCCAAAATGAAAGCTGAGAAAATGCGTCCCTCTGACTGCAATTTTAGTGTTGAGCCCTTTGCTTAAACCCATCTTTAGCTGTGAATGTTGTGCTTTGATTTAAAACCTTGGACGTTTCAGAGTTGGGATAGAAACAGCCAAGTGCCAGCATAAGTTCCTTAGAATTGCTGACATTTGTCATCACTACTGGCTGTTTCACTTTTTCATTATGAGTGCTTTTTACTGCTATTTCTTAGTCTAGGGATTTGGTCAAACTGGTTAATTTATACACTAGGGTCCATACATTACTTGCATACCATTCAAATGAAGAAATTCATTCTGTCCAGCGTGAGCTTCCCCTGAAACCACCGGACAGCTTTCCAGTATCTAACTGGTGGGCAGGGCAGGGTATCCATTGTCATCTCTTGGAACTCTTTCTTCTTCAAGTACACGGATGGGAAGAAAGCAAAAGTGAGAAAACAAAACCATGCTTTAACACTTGATAAGTGCAAGGTGTTGGAGGGAGCAAGGAAACAGCCTGTTATTTCTTCTATGTCCATTTTGGAAGAATGTGTTTCTGCTTCTGTCAGCACACCCTGTTGACACGAGGTGGTGAAGAGTCAACTGTGAGGTTCGCTGTATTTTCATGCGCTGTGTGTTTTTAGAAACGGGAGGCTGTTCTCTGTGAAGCTTTTGGTCCCCGGTTGGCGTTTGCAGGCATGTTGCAATGGTGCTAACAATAATTGCTGTGATGTAGCCAGCATGAGGACCCCCACGGCACAAGAAGGTCACTGCAATGCGAAGAGATTTTTCTACACAGCTCCTGAGGTGCACTGGTTCGGTCTGCACTCGTGCCCCTGGAGACATGGGAGCATTTCTCTCAGACTTGAAGGAAAATATTTGAGAGAAGACTGATGGGGTTTTTTTGTTTTCTCCAATATTTTTTCTAGCTTTAAACTTGAGAAAAACTTAACAGATTTCTTTTACTTAGTTTTTTTTCTCAGTGATAGCAGAACAGCTTTGACTGGGAGTATTTGCATCTTTGAAAAGAGTATGTTTTGAAACTTGTATTTCTTTTGTCTCTTTCTCTCAGGATGGCCAGTCTGATATTTTGTACAAATTTTGGACTGCAGTAACTCAGACACTTTCCTCTCATTTTCAGTCAGCAACAGACTGTAAGTATGCAGTATAAATGATCTGTAATGTGTTCTGTAGTTGTTTTGAATCTCTCATTTCAGTGAGCCCTTTGCTCGTTATCTCCTCTACTAGAACTGTAGCAGTGGTTCGGTCAGTGTGGGGTCTGTGAATTTTAAACTTCTTGGGTTTGTAACCAAACAGGATGATCTTCCAAAACTATGGTTGAATTTGCAAAAAGAAATATTCTTTTGCTTCGTTAAGTAGACATTATCTAATAACAAAACTGTATTTTTGCAACTGTGTGTGGAGGTAAAAATGTTTGGAATGGTACAATATATTTTCCAAAGTGAACGGATTTGCCAAATTCAGAAATAGTAATTTGATTTTAAAGAGCATTTCTTAACAGTCTTCTCTTGTTAAACACTGATCAGTTGTAAAAATCTGTTTTTAGTTATTTTTTGATACCTTTATAAATAGGAATTGAGTTTCTTCAAAATTGTATCTTGTCTAAATATAAATAAATGACTGGTGTTCTGACTATACACAATATTTTGTACATATGCAATAAATAAACAGCAGATACAATCAAGGAATATTAGATAAAAATCACGTATAAACATAAGACAGTACTATTGCTGGTGCATGTTAATGCAGCATGCAATTGGATCATAAACCCAGATGAGTTTGATGCTTCCATAAATTTATCTTGCATGTTCATATACATTGTGCAAAGTTAATCTGTTTCACATACAGATGAAGTGCATAAGATTTGTATCTATCTTTGTGATCTCAGCTGTTGCATTGGCCCTTCAAAATTTGGTCCTTCCAGGCTTTATAGCAGCAATATAATTTTGAGGAACTAGCTGGTTGATTCATGTTCAGTGGTTGCTAAGTAACTAGATGATCCCAAAAGAAAATATATTCATCTTGTGTTAAAATATATTAATTTTACTGTTTGCCTCAAGCATTACTTTAGCAGCAGTATGTACATACCCAAAATCTTGTATGTTCAAACCGAACATGTGCTGCTTGTTTTCAGCACTCAGCATGAAAATTGTAAAATTGTGACATCAGTTAATGGGATCAATCACCATTTCAGAAGCAAAGGAGCTCTTGCATTTTGTCAGCAGTACTTTGTCTGACAGCTGTTCAGAAATATTTTATTACTTAGGATTTTTAATCATGTTTTTTTATATAAACGTTTAGAAGGAGCAGTTGGATTTTTGACCCGTGAATGATGTTTTTCTTTGCTGCAGCCGAGTTAGTGGAAAACAGTGTTTACAGCAAGTAGACTTTTTAATTTTTTTAAGTGACACATCTATATGAGAATGTTCATTTTTAATATATAATCTCAAGTTACTGAATTCACTGACATCAGTCTCAGACCTCTGGACCATATAGATCCAGAGGAAGACTAGACAGTATCAGAAAAATGGTGTGAAAGTAGGAATTCATGGCAGCTTACAGAGTTTGGTCATAGATCATGATCTGCATTTGTGTGGTTGGGACAGTCTTCCTAAACATAGCTTTGTGACCTAAAATAACTCTGTGTTTGATAATAAATGTGAAGCCTCCAGTATTAAAAATTAGAACATGTTTGAGTTGAAAGGATAGGCTGGGTGAAATAGGACAGATGTCTGGAACCTGAAAAATCTATGAATGAATGGAACAGTGTTAATCTCCTAATGTTATGGGAAATCCACAAAGTATGAGTGATGTTAGATCAAGATTAACATCAGTCTCTAAAACAGTTGTACATTTGTTTCATTTCCTGTTACTTGTGGCAAGTTTTTCAAGGCTGAAAATAATGCTGATTTTTCTCTGGCTTTCTTATTCTGTGACAAGTTTAGGGATTGCATTTTAGGTACCTTGTTTTAAGAAGTGTGTGTAAAAGCATGTGCTTCCCTTATCAGATTTCTTAAGATTTTGGCTCATAGAAATTATCTTTGTTTAACGTGTGAATCTCAAAAGTTGCACTGCCCCACACTTTTCCCCCATGAAGCTATTGTCAGAAAATCTCTAGATTTAGAGAGTTGTAATTGCATTTGGACTTAGTGAATCATAATACCAATAATTAACTTTGATACCAAATGTTTCATGACCATGATTAGTAACTTTATTATACAAAATAAGTTTTCCATGTCCAATCTTCAAAATGTGGATTTCATGCTGGTGCTTTAGATACATACCTTTGTCAATTGGATTTAATGTGATAGCTCATACCACTTTTAAATTAATTATAAATATCAAATTATTAATATTAAAGGTAGGATAACATTGTATATCATTCATTGATGTAAATGCAATGATACGGGTTGTTTATATGAATCAAAAAATCAGTTTGAACTTAGCAGTACCTATTGTTTACTGCTTTATCTTGCAGCCTCTATGTTTTTGAAACAAGCTTTTGAAGGAGAATACCCTAAATTACTGAGGCTTTATAATGACTTGTGGAAGCGCCTGCAACAATATAGTGAAAATATTCAGAGGAATTTTAACACAAGTGGAACTACTGATCTCTTTGCTGAACTGCAACAAATGGAAGAAGATATCCAGGACATATTCATGCAAAAAACCCAAGATTATGAGTACGTATTGTGAACTCTAAGGCAATAAAATTTAAAGCTTTGCACTCTGCAAGAAAACAGAATATTTTTAAGAAGTTAGTGTTATTCAAATTATTACAACGGAAAAATTTTAAATTTGTTTTTCCTTGTGTGACTACTGCTTTAATACTATTTTAGAGCTGTAGGATTTTCATTAGTTATAAAATTAACAGTGTTGGATCGTCTTGTCTTTCACAAAGTCCCTGGCTTTGGAACTAGTTTTATCTTTTTGTCTCTTGGGGTGAAAAAAAAACCCAGAATGAGGAAAATTTAGTTTTATATGTGTTGCGATTAAAGCAGTAGGTGTCTCTGAATGATACCACATCCCTGGAGTGTGACAAATGCTCAGTTTGTTATGATTCATAGTTTTTCTGTTTATACATTTTAGAATAAACATGATCTGAGTGGCAGATATCAGAAAGATCAAACTGAAACAGGCTCATCAAGTCTATTAGGGCTTCTAAACTTATTGTAAGATAAACTGAATATTTTATGTCAGATTTCTATTGGTTTGAATGTGTTCCTGAGCAGTCACTGGGAGACTTATTACTGACTTCAACGGAAGCAAAAAAAACTTCTGACAGTGAGGTAAAATGTTTGAGAGTGCTACTGCTTACTCATTGTCACAAATAGAAATACTAAAGACTGAAGCTCATTAAAGATAAATTTAAGAACAGTCTTTCTGTTTGAAGCTTTCTGTGCACATACATATACTAGGAGGAGATGTTTTTTTGATATGTCATTGACTACAAGCTGTCTGTTAATGAAATATGTGAATACAAAAAGGTCTTTCATTGCAGTTCTGGCTATCTTGCTGATGTTTTGCAGGTGTTTTTAGCACCGTTTGTCTTAATAAAACCTTGAATTAGGGATTTCACATAGGTCTGACAGAAAGTGCTTAGAACTGTTTTGAACTACAGAGAATGGCTCCCCGTCTAGTTAAATAGTTCAAGTGAAAAGCAGGGTGTTACTCACCATTAAAATCTTTTTAAGTGCGTATGTTTAAAGAGCAGAAAACAAAACCAGGTTCAATATTGAGAAGTTTGCATGGTCTGGAACAATTCAATGCTATTGTGTATTTTAATTTAAAATGTAGTAATTTTGTGTTATACCAACAGTCCAGAAAAGGCCTTGAAAGATTCACTGCAACAGTATGAAGCTGCTTATTTGTCAAAATCCTTATCTCGACTCTTTGACCCCATCAATCTTGTCTTCCCTCCTGGAGGTCGGAATCCTCCTTCTTCTGACGAACTTGACAGCATCATTAAAACTATAGCCAGGTATGGAGGTATAATGCATCTCAAAATATAATCTTCAACATGTTTTTTCTTATAAGTTAGAATTTTAGAAATGAGACTTCCTGAGCAGTAAAAGGTAGATTACTCTTTAGTTATAAAACTTGTTAGTGTAAAAATTTAGTCAGGAAATAGAGAGTAGAATAGAATAGAATAATTTCAATAGGAAGGGACCTAAAACAATCATCTGTTCCAACTCTGTGGCCACTTCAGGCCTGACCAAAAGTTAAAGCATGTTATTAAAGCATTGACCACCTCACTAGGAAGCCTGTTCCAGTGTTTGACCACCCTCTCAGTAAACAAATATTTCTTAGTGTCCAGTCCAAACCTCCCCTGGTGCAGCTTTGAACCATTCCCACGTGTCCTATCACTGGACACCAGGGAGAAGAGCTCAGCACCTCCCTCTGTGCTTCCCCTCCTCAGGAAGCTGTAGAGAGCAATGAGGTTGCCCCTCAGCTTCATTTCTCTATACTAAACAAGCCCAAAGTCCTTAGTTGCTCCTCAAAGGAGGACATTGCTTCCAGCCCTTTCACCAGTTCTGTTGCCCTCTTCTGGACACATTCAAGGACCTTCACATTTTTCTCAAATTGTGGGGCCCAGAATTGCACACAGTACTCGAGGTGAGGCCACACCAATGCTGGGATAATCACCTCTTTATTATTATTTGTAATTTATCTTAAATTTTATTATTTATTATTTATTATTTATTTTCTGTATTTTATTTTTCTGGAATAACTGACTTTTTAGTTTAAGCTTATTAAAACATCAGGAAGAGAATCTTCACAGATATTGTGAATGCCTGATATCTTCTTTGACTGTGTCAAAGGAAAGATGGTAGGTGCTCAGCTGCAAGTTATAATACCCGATGTAAATAATCTGTTAGAGCAAACCAACAAGTTAATAGATAATAACAATTATTCCAGATAGAATGTGTAAAATGAGTTGCTTAATTTAACAATGGTGTATTCTCCCTCATAAGGTTTTGCTAATGACTACTCTGTTTAATACAGTCTGAAAAAGATGGGCAGTATTCATAGTATGTGTATGTGAGTGTGTGTATAATATTAAATACTGACACTGTACTTGTGGCTACAGATGCTTAGAACATACCTATTGATGTTGTTACTGATGTTATTTTGCTCCTTGCAGAGGAAAAAGGAAAATGACATGAAAATGAAGAAATTTCAGCTGAATTTTCCAGTGACCTTTTAGCTAATGATCTTTGGGGCCCTGCAAAGCTCTCGTAGAAGGTTATTCCTATGTCAGGATGCCTCGTGTCTCTCCATTTCTTGAGAGAGGTTAATCTCATCTCTAGGAGTATGATGATCCTTGTGCTTGTCTGTTTTCAGTAGAGCATTAATGAATGCAGCCCCAGCTGATGGACATCTGGGGTTTTCCATGAACAAAAAATACTGGAAGTGACTTAGAAGTCTTTTCCTTCTTTCATTTGTTCCCTGTCATTCCTTTGAGGCCTCTGTTACTATAAAGGATTGCCTAAAACACAGCTTATTAGTTGTGTCAAGCTAAGGCGTCCCCTGGGTATTTCTGCACAGCTCATGTAATTCCAGAGTTGAATGACTGTGTATTCACCTGTAATGTTTGAAAGCTGCTGCCAAAGCTTGAATGTAGTTAATTGCAGTCAATATTTTTGAATGGCTTACTAATAGTGATTTCATACTGAAGTGTCATTCCTAAACTTTGCTCATTTTTACTAGAATAGGAACACTGCACATAGAATTCCCAAATGACTTGTTAAATTGTAAACTGAATTATAGTGCTTAGAAAGGCTCGGTTGTATGTGTTACTCTCTCTAAATTGACATGCCACGTAACTACTTATTCATAGTTAATTCTTTGTCAATTAAATACAGTACTGTTTAGTTGTTAATTAGGATTTGTAATCTTTGCTTCCAGTGAGCTAAATGTGGCTGCTGTGGATCCAGATCTGAGTTTAGCCGTGGCAAAAAATGTGGCAAAGACCATTCAGCTCTATGGTGTAAAGTCTGAGCAGCTTGTAAGTAATTTTAAATTTCTCAAAACTTAACGTTTTTCTACATACAATGTTCTGTTTGTAGATTTACAACATAACAGTAAAGCAGTCTAAATAGACAAAAGCTTCTGATTGGCTTTCCATTGTATTTGGAAAGATTTTCAGGTAAATTCTGCCTTCAAATAAACACAATCTATTGATATCTGTAAAATTTGTCTGTGTAACTCCAAATTCAATTTACCATATTAATTTTAAAAAATCAGAATTGTTGCTGTTAAGTAAAATTAAGACAATTCAGTTCAGTGTAATATTTGATATCCCATCAGTTACATGATACATAGTCTTTATTGTATTAAAATCTAGAGTATTTGAATATATTTTTTCACTATTTGCAACAAAATTTGGGCATTTTTTCCATGTATTTGTTATTTGCCATATATTTAACTGACCCTTGATTTGTTTACAGTTGTCAAATGCTTCCAGTCATTTGCCATGTACTGTAATCTAGTGTTAAAGTGAAGAGAGGAAGGATTCCCAAAGCCTTATCCTTTGGGTAGGGATCCCCTAAATGCCAATGGACAGCACTGTGAAAGTTGTCACCATACCAAAAAAAAAATTTAACATCAACCATTTTCTTGTGAAGTCTGTTGCTGGCATTTTAATAGTTTTCTTATGAAGAGATGAAAAATAATTTTTGCAGTACACAGACCAACAAGAAATGACTAACTACTTGTTATTTGTAAACAGGATTTTCACTGAAACAACATTAATTCTGAAAGCAAACTCAGGCTCTGGTGACATTCATTTACTATATGTTTCATTTACAAAGAGATACTTGCTAACAATGTTTTCTAACAATTGGCTACAAAGACATTTCAGCAATTAGGCTACTATGGATTCTGTTTACACCTGCTGTCTCCGAATAGCTTTAAAAAAATGGAAACTCAGTAACCCCTTGTTTACCATGCCTGTTGGTTGTATTAGAATTTTGTAAACTAGTGGATGGAAGAGGAATATAGGTGAAGCACTCATGAAGGCCTTAAAGAATATATAAAATAAAAATATGTGTCTACATTATTTTGCTGTATATTTAGAGCATAGTTCTAAAGCTGAGTATTCCTTTAAAGACACTGAATCATGGCTTCATAATTTCAGAGTGAAATTTGCTCCTGAAAGAAATTAGGATTTTTAGTAGGTTGCGAGAGTCATCATGAGTAAAAAATACCACACTTGTTCCTCTATTTTTCATGGACTGTAGTGTCGAATAGTGGCATTCAACTGGAAAAAAAAAAAAAGACATATCAGCTGTAACTGTGAGAGCACCAGGGTCTGTTGTGCACATCATCTCTGTTAAAATTTGGATCTGGCCAGTGGCTTGTTTGGAAGCGTACATCGTTTTGTGATCAGCCAGCTGGCAAATTCTTAAGAAACCCTGAAAAAAAGGATGTGTAGAAATAAACTGACAAGGGTATGATTTGTGGCTTTGTATTAGCTGACCTTAAACTAAAGGAATGTAGGAGTAAAGAAGGGAGTCTGAGTCCTTGAAATTTTTGAATTTTACAACTGAAAATAAAACCTAAAACTGCAAACTGACAGGATTAGTCAAACTGGCAGAGTTAACATGAATGTTCTACAAGAATATACCTGCAAATCAAAAAAAAAAAAAAAAATCAACTATGTATCACAGAGCTATGTTTTCTTTACATTTTTTTTCTTTCCTTACTGATACACATGTTATAAAATTTAAAACTGGAAGGGCTCAACACAGTTACCAAGGCATAAGTGTATCGTGCCATCTTTAAAGTGCTAAAATATCATGCCTAGCCTCCAGCTGCCTCTCCAGAAGAGCATGGCTCTCCCACTTGTCCTGTGCTGTGCTTGCCAGCTCTGTGGTTATAATCTCTAACATCTTTACTTTTTTTTTTGTACCTATTTTTGGGCAGACAGATTGAGCTTGAAACGTGTACCATGTGTAGAACAGGAGCTATGTCAGACAGCACTGGTTCATTATGTTTTAGTGGTGTAGCCAAGAATGCAATCTTCATTCACTCTTGCAATCCAGTCTCCAGCGATAGCTTTCTAAAGCTGAGAAGGGTGACCATGTAACATTTCCGCTCAGATGCTTCATTTCTGTTAGCTATAGTAGAGCAGTGGTAAAGATGGAAATTTAATTTCCTGGAAGAATTCACAATTGAGTTTTCTTCCAAATTAAAAGTATACAAAAGAATCTCAGAATTCTTAGTGAAGGAAAACGGGCTGAGGGGGGCGGGGAGGGCTTTGAAGAGTCATTAGAATTTATTTTTTTTTAATGTTGTTGTAATATTGCAGGTAGATTTGAATGGTGAAAAACTTAAATGTAAAGTCCTAAAAATTTTGAGATATTTGGATATCAGGGTTTGTATTTGGAACTGCAGTTCCCTACGACGTCATAGCTGTTTTTTCAGTTAGCTTTAGATAGGACAAATAACAAGAACCTTATTCAAAACTCTAAGATTTTACCTTTAAGTAAAAGTAGAATCTAGCAATCTACATATGCTACTAAAGCAAAAACCGAGTAAGAAAACAATGTCCTCTTCCTGTGAATCCAAAACATTTGTTTGTGTTACTTGTGACTTCGTACACTGCTGGCTTTTGGTTTTCAGCTTTTCCCACCCCAAGAACTAGCTCCTACTGTGCCGGAGACCTATTCTTGTATTAACCAGTTCAAATGATTTCAGAGAAGATATAAATAACCCTCTGTGAGCAGTTGGTAGATATGTTCTGCTGTTGGATGGATTTTTAGCAAACCCCTTGCTGATGCTTGATGTGGTTGGTGTATGCTATTGAAGCATTCAGGATTATTGTCCTGATTTCACTCAGTGTAATTGCAGATGTTCTTACTATACGGAGTTTGAAGGGATAATTAGATATTGCAGTAAATTTAAAAAAATATTTCTGTTAATTTAAGAGTATTACCTTTCAACTTCACCATCCTTCATGGTTTTGTAAGGTGGTGCTGAGGAAGGATGCTTGGTATATTTTCTCTGTGCCATTATTATTTTGTCTCTTCTTAGTCACATTTTCCCTAAATCAGGCAGCTCAAACATCTTCATAACGATTACAGACACCGCGAGACTTCTGTTTAGTCACCATTTCTACATCCTTATCATTCCAAATTGGAAGAGAGATTAACAAATCTGATCATCGTGTTTTGGACACGAGCAAAATTTTCCTCTTCTGCATTTGCACATTCTAATCCATTGCTTACTTTTTAACGTAATGGCTGCTTCCTGAGCCAGATTTTGTTCACCAACCACTTTTTCAGACAAGTGAGGTAGCCCAGATAAAAAAGAACACTGACTTTTCTCCTTGATTTAAGAGTTTTCTGGAGGGGTCATCTGTTTCCATTTGCAAATACCTTAAGTTACCCGTCATGTATTGAACACATATAACACATTACGCTCTTGTGTAGCTGGCCATGTAAGGAAAATTTCATCAAATGCTAACAATAAGTACAATGGAGGGAAGAAATTAGTGAGAAACCAGTAAGTTGCATTTCCTGAAAACAAACAAAAAGTTAAGTAATTTTGGGTTTTCTTAAGAATACATGATGCTTAATGAAAGATAGGAGCTCACAGATCTTCCTTCTAGAGAAATTTTCACCCATTTATATGACTGATAGTTGAGAAGAGGTATGAAAGAGAGCTTATATCTCACCAACATCTCCATTAGATGGCTTTGACATGGCAGCAGTAATTACATATCAGGATCCTCTAGGGCAGTGGTCTCTAAACTTTTTCAGTCATGCATCCCTATCAGTAAAAGTTTTTTGATCATGCACCCCCATTATGCGTATATTTATTTATTTATAAATTATATACATGTACTGTTGAAGTTCTGGTATTTTCTTCCTGCACCCTAATGGATTGTCTTGTATAACCCCTGTGGTGCATGCACTTTGCAGACCACTCCTGTAGGGTAGTACTCCACAGTAATCTTCCATAATAAGAAGTGAACACATTTTGGCTGTCCATTTTTGGGAAAGCTGGCTGATTGATTGCAGAAGTATTTTAAATTCATGTTTTATTTTTGTTACTTTAAGTCAAATTTCTCATTTATCTATATGAGAATGAAAATTATATTCACCTGTTGATTGGGAGGCAAAACTGTATTTTCTCAATTGATTGCCTGTAATTTTGTCATTTACTGAACTGAATTTTAAATGTACTCCAAATGTTGTGATTTCTCTCATAATTAAAAATGTTTTTGTTGCGACTTTGCAGTCGCTATGTTTTGGATTGCTTGTTGATAGAGCTATTTCCCTTACTGATACTTGGAACTGGATGTCTTGTGGAGAGAAGTCATGAAATACAGGGAGTTAAAAGCTCTGAAAGTTTACAAGATGTGTACTTCTGCCAAAAAGCAGAAAAATAAATTGCAAGATCCATTGTCCTTATAGAGACTGGAGATGGAAGAGCCCTATTTGGTCATTTAGTCTATTCCTTTCCCAGCACAGGACTATTTCAGACAATATTTATTGTTGGGGTTTTTGTTGCATTCTTTCTGCTTTTAGAGTGATGATTTCAGTTACCTCATATATTGTGAGTAGAAATGTAAGTACTGTATGTTCTCTTACTTTTGTGCTATTTCTGTTCAGCTTGGCGTGTGGGTGGATTGCAATACACTAACACACCCACCAAGTGCACGTAGATGAAATGTGTTGTGCTGTGAGCATGAAAATGCAGTTGTTTAGGAAAGATGCGATGCTCCTACTTTTTGAACCTGGAGACCTCTACTAGGTTCCTCCCCAGAGTTACAGTCATCCTGTCAGACTATCCTTATTAATTGCGATCAGAGTCCCACAGCAATCCCTCCTGTCTTGGCTTGTGGAGGCTCTGTCTTGCTGCCTCCTCTCACCAGAAGGCTTTGCTGTCAGAGACAAAGTGGCCTGGTATCTTTTAGCCAATAAACAAGCAAAGAGTAATTTGCAGAGGCAGGATTGTAAAAATCAGGTTGCCCACTTGCTTTTCAGAGCAGGTGGGGGT